CCATATCCATCCGGTTGGACGAGATATTGTTGCACCTGTACGAGTATTGGTATATCTTGTGATAGAAGGAGACGTACGAATTGGGTTACGGATACCACCACCAGTGCGAATACCACCACCAGTGCGAATACCACCACCAGTGCGAATTCCGCCAATGCGAATGCCGCTTGAAATTCTTATAGCTTTTGATAATGGGTTGTTTTGAGAAATATTTTCTAGATTGAAATGCATCAAAGTTATAGAAATTTTATTGAAGTAAATGAATTTCGAAAAAAAGTAGAAATTGAGACTTATTCTCTCTAAATTTACTTCGGATACTTACCATCCATTGTATTACGTTGTTCTTCTTTAGCATATTGATCATCATCTTTTGAATGGAATAATTCTTGACAGATAACTTCCCATTGTTGATTTTCATCTAGTGGAAGACTGTTACTGCTATACAATGTATCACAAATATCTTGAATTAATTTATTTGATCTTGATTGAGTTGTATAGATAATATCAATAGCCCCCAATAACAGGAGCAATATCATTATTTTGCTATGCATTTTAGCAAAAAACATCCTTGAATAAATGAAGTCTTATGACCCGGTATGTTTTTATTCAAGTGACGACGTAGAAATTTGATCATATTTTATATTCTTTCTTTGACGTAAAACTCTAGTATCTTTTGTCTCATACGCAAAGAAAAGGAGCAAATACAGATAAGCATGATGTGGGCGTGCATGCGCTTATTAACAGATTTTGGTTGTCAAGTTGACTGGGTAACAAAAAGTACTCATGATAACTTTACATGTATTTTCTCTTATATGCATCCATGTAAAATTCATTTAATATACTGATTTAAAGTATAATCATTAGATTAAAAGATGTATTTTCACATGCGCCTTAATACTGATGATATAGAAAACTAATAAATATCTTTCATATAAAAATGATCATATGTCAATTTAGTAAATAAAAATAATGAAAAAACTTTTTCCTGTCCAAATGCAAAGTAACTTTATAAATTGTAAAATCTGAATAGTATACAACTTCGAGATCATTAGATATGCATTAAAAATAATTCGTAAGAATGTGATTGTGAAGTGTGAATAAAGTAGAAGAAAATAAAAGATTTTTATCAAATATGAATTTCAAATCTATGATATCATTTGTTTCTTTTTGTGTTAATGAAAAAAAAACACATTTCTTATGTACATCATTCGATTTATATCTACATAAGATCAAATTCAGATCTTTAAGTAAATATACAATTGCTTAATCTCAATACATCAAATATGTTTTCAACGATTGTAAAAAGAAATGTAATGAAAACACAGATAAGTTGTCACCAATCAAAAGAATCTATAAGTAACTATTATATACTAATACTATACAGATTGCCATCAGTTTGTTGTCTAGCTATACATATGATCTTCTTGAATCAATTATTTTACAGTATAATGTTGAACATCATGATTATATACTATTAATAAAGCAAATTATATCTGACAAGAATTTGTAATATGTTTTGATTTCATATATTGATCATATGAGAATATAAGATTCACATAAAAATTATGTTATTCTGTTTTTTTTTATATAAAATAATTCAAATTACAAAGTTCATACGTGATGATACAATCTTAGTTTAGATATTTTTCAAGCAAAATATTGTTGATATGATAAGAAAAAACAATCTCTTGCTAGTCATGATGATATATGACATATACTGTTATATTCTTACCTTATCTTTCGTTTATATATACAACAAACAACAAAAAAACCTTCTAGTGTGTGCTGTTAGACATATTAACAAAAGAAAACTAATGCAACGAACAATTTTTTCTATAATACTTGCTGTAGCTTATGTTGGTTTTATATCAGCTCAAGTACCTATTCCATCACGTCCCGATGGATATGGTGTTGGTGGACCAGCTGATGCTCATGTTGTTGTAGAAATGTTTTTTGATCCTCTTTGTCCAGGTTGCAAAGCTTCTTGGCCAACTGTTTTACAATTAATTCAAGCATATGCTACACGAATTCATGTTCGAATTCATACATTTCCACTTCCATATCATACAAATTCATTTGTCGCTTCTCAAGGTTTACATGTTGTTGCTAATGTTACAAATCGAAATCTTGATGCTATTTTTCAATATGTAACTAAAGTATTTGAAAATCAACAAATGTGGTATAATGATGCAACGAAATCAATGACTATGCCACAAGTTATTGATTCACTTGCTACATATATTGATAAAATTGGTTTAATATCAAAAGATAAATTTTTAGCAGGTATGGCCAGTGATGATATTAATGGTGAAACACGTATTTCATGGAAATATGCTTGCTCAAGAGGTAATTTGAATTTAACGAATAATGAAAATAAATTTAATTTTCTTATCATATTTAGGTGTTGTTGGTACTCCGACATTTCTTATTAATGGTGTAACCATAAGTGCAAATTCAGCATGGTCACTTGATGATTGGAAATCAGTTATTGATCCAATTTTAGCATCAAATAAAAAAGTTTCATCTCAAATTAAAGATTGTCCACCAGATCAAAAGCAATGTACTTATGCTCCACATAAAACTCAATGTTGCTTAGCTGGTGAACGTTGTATTCCAAATGTTGGTTGTCGTTGTTTTAATTTTAAAAATGGAAATAAATGTGCTTAAGATGAATGTATAGAATTTCGAAAGACTTTTTATATTTCTTAATAAAATGTGCAATATATATATAAGAGACAGCTTTGTTCGATAATAGAAGAAATTATCAAAATTGTAAGAATAAAATTAATATTCGTGTACCTTACTACAAAAAAAATATTGATTCTTTAACTACCAGAATCAGCGCTTATTAAATATTGTCTAAGCTGCGTCATAAACTACATCAATAGAATTATCAGATTCATTTTGTTAGAAATATTAGCAAAATATCATATCGTCGCATATCTATTTGATATAGACTAAAATTTGATTTTCAAATATTATCACATATTCTAAGTATTATAAATAGAGAAATAGTTTTCGATAGCTGTATGTAGGTCTTATCCTTGCTCACACTAACATGAAACCGCACTCAACAGATAGATTTAAGCTTAATAAATGATTATTTCAATTTTTAAAAATTCAGAGACTAGTGCATGACGATGGGAGTGTTTTTTAATTCTATTTTCAAGGTCAAAATTTAATTCTAATCCGATATTCGAGTCGAATGACGAAAAACTTTTACTAGGAATAGAAGAAGCAGCAAATCTAGATATTGACTTTCTATCTCAACTGAACTAAAGCGATAGTGCTCGAACTGACGCCTGCTTATGAAAAGTGATCATCGAATTCTACTCATGATTAAACTTCCAAGACAATACAGTTCTATTTCGACAATTTTGCCAAGCTTAAAAACAAATTTTATTGATCCTAAATTAGTTTTATTCTTAATTTTCATCAACTTTTCATATCCACATATTTGTTGAACATATATATATATCTGTGTGTATTTAAATTCAAAAAATAACATATCATTTAAGTATATTCAAAAACGAATTCTAATTTCTGTCATTGGTAGTAAATAGAAGAAATTGATCATATACAATAAGTCTAACGAAACCAACACAACTCTTTTTGGATCTTAATTTGTATATAATTTCGTAAGAATGATTGGTAATACAGGGTAAACAAATGTCTCTTGCTGAGAAAATTTTCTTACTGATAAATTGATTTTAAGTCAAAACAATGAACATTATATGGATCCAAATGAGCTATGAATACGTTGAAAAAAGTTCTTTTTCCTTAATTTATTGTTGTGAAGATACTGCACTTTTACGGTATTTTTTTCAAAAATAAATGCCGTCGTAACAAAAGACAAAAAAAACAAGAAAAAACATTTTGACATTATCTGCAATTATGAAAAATTGAATATGTATCTTTTTGAGTCTGTTTACATGTTAAATAATCATCATAAAGGCAGAAACACATTCCGAAAAAATGACGAATAATGACGAAGAGAGAGAAACAACCCATAGTCTTGGTGATATATTGTAATGCCTATGAGACTAAAAATCAAAATACCATATAGCTATCAATTTACTACTCACAGTACCATTGCTTTTTTTTTCAATCTGTTTTTGGATATGTATCTTCAACATTTTCTATACTTGATTTTTGTAAAAAAAATCAACAAAGAAAGCAGGTCATATGTTACAATAAGTCTTTATTGATTTATGGTCTTTCATCAGATGTCAATAACATTTGTTAAGATCTGGAACACTAAGGTTCAACATTTCTACGGTACAGACGTCTTTGTCTGTGATGCATTCTCATGATGTCTACCACAGTTTGTAATCAGTTGTCGAGATGTCTCTCCAAAATTTTGATTATTTCTCATGTGTCTGTTACGATCTAAAATGCGTTCATTAGTTGTCTGTCATGCATGCTGTGTAATTAATTTCCAAGTTGTCATTTGTGGTTTGTAATGGGTTCGCAAGATGCGTGCCAAAGTATCTCATATGTTTTGAAAGTATTTGTTCAAGTATGTGATGTGTTCTTATGAGGTCTTTCACGACCTCTGATGTCTTCTCTAAAAATTCAGTCATGATATTTGATGAGTTTTAAGCAAATGTCTCATAATCTATAATGAATTCAGAAAGGTGTTTGCCATCGTCTATAATGTGTTCCTACGATGTGTGCCATGTCCTAACATCCATTCTGTTAGTGTCTTTGACGTTCTGAAGAATTTCAAATATCTATTCTTTTACACTCCAAGATCACTTTAGATCATAATTGACAATAATACTTTGCACTTTTCGCAGATTCTGTCTTTGAAAAACCACAAAACATCAGCGAATTTTTATCTAGTCTTGAAAATCTTATATATAAATGAGGAATAAGCTAAAATTTGAAACCCAGAATATAGAAAAGAATGCTTTTATTTTCTAATTATACTATTATGTTTTTTTGTTATGCTAAGAAAATAAAAAAAAACAAAAAGAAACCTTAATATAAATAAAAATTCATGATAACCAAATTTCTATAGTTTGTTCATTATTTTTAACATCAATGATTTGTTCATGAAGAATATTGTTGGGAAATTGTTGACGACGTTTTTTAATAATATAGTCACGTAAATATGGATTATCAAGTAATGTGTCTCGATAATATTTAATTTTAATATAACACAAGTTTTTCAGAAGATTAAGAAATATATCAATAATAGATACACATTGATCGAACGAATATACTTGAAGTTCAATATGACTAAGTGATGGAAAACGTTGAACAAATTTTGTTACAAAATTTGCAGGAAAATAAATATTTTCTGTGATTGATTATCAATTAAGTTGGAAAAAACTAATAGTCGAGTATTAATTATAAAATTAATCACATTTGGATATTCTTTAAAACAAAACAAAAACAAATACAATTATTATATTAATATTTAATAAGATTACTTAATATACAATCTAATTCATAACTGTATAGAAATTATTTGTTGTTTATAAATATATAAATAATACTTACTCTAGAATAAACTGAATATCTTTCCATCGAGATATATCATACTTTGTTCCAAATTCAATTTGAGTTATATTGGGTAAATGAACAAAATATGAAAGATAAGTAACATTTTCTTGTGCATCATCATTATCATCATCATCGGTTTGACGAAAGTTAACTAAACCAATAAAATAAAGAAAAAAATACAATAAAATTCATCTATATATGACATAAAATGATTATTCTTCTTATCAATCTTTAATAAATTGTTCCATAGTGATGAATTTTTTTTTTGGTATATGTATGGATAAAGAAATAATTTGTTGAAATAAAGGTAAAGACCAAGTAACAATAGGTGTAATTGTGGTCATGCATATTCTCAAATCTGTTTCATTTGAATAAAAACGATAATGATCATTTGTCGTTGTTGTTGTTGTTGATCGTGTTTTAAATGTACCCAAATAAATAAATGGAGTATTTAAATAAACATTTGAATTGTGTTTCTGATAATTTAATGTACGCAACATGACAAACTCTTCTAAAAGAAAGAAAAAAAATGAAATTTTTATATATGAAATAACGATCTTTATAAATGAAAAATGACAAAACTTTTGTTTTTCATAGCATTCATTCGTTAAAGAAATCTAATATTAATGAAACTACCCAGTCAGACAAAACTAGTAAAAAAACGCGTTGGTAACGCTGTGCTATTTCGAACAACGTTTTTTATGGTGTTAGATAGTATTATGCGTTCATAACGCGTTTAAATGTGCGGTTTTTACGAACATTTTTTCGTTTCATATTTTAAACGCGTTTTTACATGTTTTATTTTTTGAATAAAACTATAAGGTAGAGAGATAACTCAACACGTCGTGATCATTTGAGAGCTAGTTGAGACTATATTTTTTCTAACTCTCAAGTGATCACGACGTGTTGAGTTGTCTCTCTACCTTATAAAATTTAGCTACTTTATTTTAATTGGAATTAATTATATGTGGATAAATAACTGAAATATACTCAAGTTCCGTAACATTCTTTTTTTTATCGTCTAACAATATTCTATTCTAATGTAAGATATGCTTTGAAGTCATCAACTATTCTCTTATTTTACTGTTGTCTAGCTACGAATCTATGACCGCAATAAAAAAAATAAAAAACTGATTGTTATGAAAGAGAGTGAATAAAAAAAGGAAACTTGATATAGTTGTTGATGCTAAGTCAACTGTTCGTATGATTAAATAATTTAACACAAGGTTGACTAATGTACTAAACTTATTTCTTTTTCTTTACGCAAGAATCTTTCTCTTATAGCTATGCTTATCCTATCTTGACTGGATAAAAAGAAAACTTATGTGTATGAGGATATTTCTGCAGCATAATGCATGTAATAGATTATCTAGCAGAAATAATATCATAAAGCTACTCGAATGAAAGAAATATGAGTTACTGCATAAAAGAAAACTATGAAAAAAAGAATAAACACAAGAAAGAAAGAATTTGAATGAAAAAAAATCGATTGGGGAAATAATGAGAAAAAACAGACAAGAATATGTTCATGTGGTAGATACTAGTTGCGAGATAGATTTTTTTTTCTACCTTCTTGTTATCTACTCAAACTGATGTAAAGATGCTTATAAAAATATTTAGAATAGGATTTTAAAATGTAGTGAAAGTGTCTAAAGGGTATACGAGTTGTAGAAGTGTGCGGTGGATCCTCTGCAGAGATCAGGCAAATAAACGCGTTTGAACACGTTTTCTTAAATACCTTTCCTACTTATCTGTTTGATAATGTCTTCTGTTTTGTCTGAAAAAAATATTATTTTACATGTTTCCTAGTAATACTATAGTTAACGTTTCGCGAGAAAAATGGTGAACATCAAATGATTGGTTGTTAGTATTAACTAATACAAAAAAAATTAAAGAAGATTTTGTCATAGTATTACCAGTCATAACGGATATAAAGAAATGTCCTTAACTTTAATGCCTAGCCTGTTTATTAGTTATTGTTTACGTACAGAAACAGGAGTGCATTTTAAAAGAAAAGATTTCTTCTGATAACGATCAATATATAAAAGGTCATTTAACAATAAGATTAAAGATTACGCAAATAAAACTCGAACATTAATTTGAAAAAACACTATACCATGAATTAGATTTAATAAAGATCAATGAAGACTCTATGAAATGGAATCTATCATATATGAGGAAAATAAAACTTATAAAAGTATGTTTTAAATATTTTTTCCATGTTAAAGTTTATAAATAGATTCTCATCAAGTCGGACATCAGTTCAAATATCAATACCTAGTCGCATACTTCATAGATACGAAACATCCCATCTTAAAATTTACCTATTTATGTTTTAACTTTCATGAGACAATATACTAACATAAAAGAGCTTAGTTTGGTTTAGTAAGTGAATTATAGTGTACAGAAGATGCAAGTAGTAACCTAGTTTCAAAGGAAAAAAAATAAGTCAAGTTGTATTTAACATGGACTCGTATCAAAATATATTTAGGCTTGTGCATGCGTTTAAACTCGTAAAAGGAATAGCGACAACAACAGAAAAACGCGTAAATTTTGAAAAAATTACAGGTTTTGACACATTGCAGATAGGTTACGTGTTTTAGCGCGTTTGAAAATGGCAGAATAATGCCGTTTAAACGCTGTTATTACGGAATCTAAACGTGTTTGAACGCATTATTTTTTAACGTTTGTCTGCTTGGGAAATATAAAGACAATGATGAATCATTAAGAAAAAGGACAATCGTTCGAACGAGTTAGACTCCGATCGATAATTAATGGCTGACGAATGAACATGCATTGTTTTCTGTGCGTCACGTTTTTTTTATCATGCTTTCACTTCATTGTGTTGAATCACTAGAACAATTAATGATCCTACGAACTCACCAGCGTAAGACGCAAGAGAAGTGCACAAAAAATGATCTTGATCGAGCACTTTTGGATATTCGAGAAAAATAATGGTGAAAAACCCTGCTGCTCATTACCACATACCTATTCGAACAATCTTCCACAGGCTTGCTGGAAGTCGAACTGGTGCCAGTTGTGTTAGAAAAACAATTCTTACCAAAGAAGAAAAGTCACACCTGATGGACACGATTCTTCTCTTTCAAAAATAACAGTGTCCCGTTTCACCATCAATCATCATCGGATTGGCCAAACCGTACATGCAACAATTGGGAAAACCTGTGTTTCTTTAATCATTCAGCTATCTTTGACCATATCTGTCTATTGTCTATGAGAATACATGAGATCATGATTTGATTGTTCTGTATATAATCATGGCTAGCATTACTTTATTAGGGTCTACTGATCATTATTGTCGTTCACCGAACAATATCTTTTTCCATTTGTTCCACCAATACTCTTTCGGAAGTAAAACAATCAAACAAAATGGCAGTAGTAAAATTGAAAATAGATCTATGGCCAACAGATATAGTTCCACATGAGGGTGTACATTCTCTGATAAAACTATAAGAGCGTCCATTAAATAATAAGTAAAAATAGGTGTAGAAAAACTCAAGCAGACAACGGAAATTGATAACAGTTGTATAAACATTTTACGATTTTTCCGCCATTTCATCGGCTCTTGTAATCGAATATGTCTTTGCCAGAAAACTCCTATGATAAGAGTTACATCAAAGAATATAGACATAACGTTGCATAATGCTGCATTGACCGAGATGTCCCATAAAAAAGCGAATTCATTCTTATAATAGAATGGTTGGAACCTAGACCATATTTGTGTGTAATCATATGAGTCTGATTTATCACATTTAATCATGATTAAAACTAGTAAATAAAACAGTAATGGATAGAAACTGAAAAATATCAGGGACAAATAATGCAAGAACCATCGATTGTTTCGAATCAATAACTATTTTTCATGAAAAATAAGAATATATCTTTCGAATGACATCCAAGTAACGAGTATGATTGTTGTTTCAAAAATTCCTGTATCAAAATACCTCCAGAGTTTACAAATAAGCGGTGTTTGAGGCCAAATATACCCTAAACGAGCAAAATTCATATAGAAGAGAACATCAATTAGTTGAGTACCAAATCCAGCAAAAAGAATAGCAACAATTGAATGATTATTTAATGCACGACATTGAACACTTTTGATAAGCATATAATAAAGATGTAAAAGAAAGCATGCTAGAAACAAAATATTGAAAATAAGAAATAACAAGAAACGAACTGAATGAGGAATAGAAATATCTGTATCATCGAACGATGATTCATTGGTGTAATTCGAAGCCATCGTACGGATTTTTTGCCTTTTCAAGAAAAAAACTACAATGAACGATACCAAGCTAACGTATAATTTATCTATTTTGATAAATAATTTCCAGATAACTATCAAAAGAAATATAGGATAGTAAAAATTTGCGATCTTTCATGATGCTCATAACCATTATTACTAGTGTTAATGTGAAACCTAATTTGATATTCTTTTCATAGGCAAGAACTACAACGATTGTTTTTCGCCTCTGAGTCAATGCGATATAAATGCCTTATTAAAAATTCCTTACTTATATAGGCAATGCTATGACAGCGAGATTAAGCTGCACTTTGCAAAAATCATTTCAATCATGATAAAGTGGTATCTCAATCTTTCTACGCATATTAATTTTCATTCTCATAGACAGGTTGACAACAATGATAATTCTATTCCAGACCATGTGCATTACAGTAGTTGTTAGAAGAATATTTATGCTTTATGAGACTTGTTTTATTTTCTTTTCATGCTCTACATGAATCATGTATGCATGGGCGGCACGCTAGCATTACAAGGAGCAGCTATGGCTTTCACTAAAAATAGTTGTCCAAGCAATAAAAATATATTGCTATCCTAAATGGCTCATGCTTTCTTTGTATATTAGAGTAAAACTACCTAAGTCAACATATATATTCTGTACGACTTTGTAGTTAATATAGAAGGATTGCCCAGTCTCATGAATTTGTTTATTGTCATCCTAATGAATGCGTTCCATGTGTTCCGTGTTATCCCATTCGACGAATAATTATTTTAGCCGTACATAATCGACATTTTGGTTATTTTGGATTCTCTCCTTTTATAATCAATGATGTTCAAAGCTTTCTGCTAGATCAGAACCAATAATGTAACTGTAAGTTCGTCTCTCATCTTTCTAAGATTGACTAAATGATACCTGACTACTTCGATCCAGAGAAGTAAAGTTCAATTAACTAATATCGACTGGATGAAACGGAATAGTTGATCTTCTATACTATTTTTTATTAATAAAAATAGGCAGAATACTCGGCACTCCTTGTTTGTTTTTGTTTTTTTAAGATTTACAATTTAGAGTTTTGATATTTATAATTAAAATTTCTGAAAAACATAAATTTACCTATTATTTCAAAATAAAAGTGAATACTGACTAGCTGCTAAACGATAAATTGTTAAAAAATCTGAAAAAAAAAGCACCTCGATCTTTCCAGCTGATTGTTACGCTTATGAAATTTTCAAAAAGAGTACTTGTTAAAATTTCAAGCAATATTTCACATGAGTATCAAGTCGAGAACTGAATAGCTAGTGAACTGACGATAAAGGTAAAAAAGACTTAAATCTTTCCTAATTTTTTTTTGAGCGAAATCTTATTCAATAACATTTACACCGACTTGAAGCTCATGATGCACTATCACTTGATTTTATGCTCAAACTTCCACATATCATGCCTTTAGAAATATTGTATTCGAATGGGAAAAATTTCGCTATCATAGTGTTCATTATTTCAAGGAGAAAGATGAGAAGGAGAATACAAAGAAGAAAAGATAGACTCGCGTAAAACTTAATTGCTACCTCTACAAACTTGAGCTTGCGTCGTCCATGGTTACTATCAAAACCAATATTTTTGTCTCGAAACAATAAGTTATCAAGAAAAACCAACTCCTCTATAACATATAATACTATTAGGATAACTTTTGAAGACTCAATATCTCGAGAAAGAAGTATTCGTTTTAATTGTGACATTTCGATTGTTATAAGAGTCATGAAACCTTTACGTAGGGAAATTTTCAGATTGAAATTCTGTTCTTTGAGTTTAGGTTCCACTAATGAAATAAATATCAGCAACAAATCTCTGCATCACTTGAGATAATTTCTTTGTAAGTAGAAGATATTTGAAAAAGTTAATTATTTTATTATTGAATAGTTAAAAATCGTTTTTATTGTCACAATTATATGAAATATTCAATAGTTTCTTTCACACTATCAAATATCCCTGAAACTGTCACTTATTTTATACAACAAAAAACAGAAGAAAGAAAGAAAGAAAGATCATCTGAACGACAGCTAGAAAAAAAAACGAAATACAAACATCGAGAAAAAAAATAGTAAGTCACTAACCTAAATCAATCATACGCGCACAGAAGGCGAAGAAAAAAAAAGAAAAGAATGACTAGATTTCAAAAAAAGAATAAAGAAAACTTAGGTCTTAAATATTTATAGACTTGGCATGAGAAAAGTTGGTCGTCTTTCGTGATTGTCATTTAAGACTGATATATTTGATTCATCTTGTTGATTATCCGAATCTGAAAATAATGAACCTTCACTACTTGAACGACTATGCTCATTAATTATTTTTCTCTGTTCATTATTATCAGTTGTTGATGATGATGATGACGACATACTTTCATGATTACTAACATCTGTTGTACTTGCCCATGATGTTGTCATTGTTTCTAATAATAAATGAAAAATATTTATTTTAAATTAAAAACATATATGAATCTTTACCTCCACCTAATGAATTAATCATTATTGGATTTGATGATGAAGGTGGTGGAGCATATTGTGATTGACGTTTTACTCTTTAAAATAAATTAAAACGATATTTAAAAAAAAACAAAAATGTAAAAAAACAAAGAGATAATTATTTACATAGGTGAACTGTTCATTATTGTTTCAATTGGCCATCGAATTTCATTATTTATCATATTTGGACTATTCGTTTGTTGTGGAATATTATGTATATGACGTGTTGTTGTACGTATTGATGATGGTGTATGAGGATGAGATTGTGATGTACAATGTATACAATAATGATGATTATTATGTGGTGTATGAGATTGAGAACGATATTGAAATGATGAAGATGGATGATCAAGCCACGGTGGTTGATATTGTACTGATGTTGGTTGTTGTGAATCTAATACATAATGATGTGACGGAAATGATGGTGGTGAACGCATTGATTCCGACTAAATTTTTATATTTCAAATAAGATACAAAAAAATAATAAATTTACAACTTACATAAGTTGGTAATAATGTTGCTGTTGCTTGTTGTGGTGAATGATTATGCTGAAATATTCCCGTTGTTGCATATGGATTAAGTTGTTGTTGTTGTTGTTGTTGTTGTTGTTTAGATTGTTGTAAAAGTGTATTTATAGGATTTTTATGTATATTTATTAAATGAGGATCATGTTCACATTGACTACTACCGGATGCAGTTGTTGTTGTACAACATTGAAGACGTATACCATTGGTAATAGTATCAGTCCATAAGGCTGCTGATGATGGTGGTGGTGGAGTATCTTTAATTAAATCATAACGTGTACCGTTACTTAAAGTTTTTTGTATGGGCATTTCAACAAATTGATTTGATGATGACGATGATGATGATGATGAATTTGAACTACCAAATTTCATTCCATGACGATGTTGATGTATTAAACGATGAAAACATAACCAACAAGCATATGATAAAATACAAGTAAAAAGAATACTGGAAATAATAATTAATGGTAAAAACCTATGAAAGAAAAATATTATGAAAATAAACAATAGAATTATATGTATTCAACGTACCATGGTTGAGAAATAGCCTCACGAAAACGACGTTTAAAATTAAATGGATTTAATTTAACATTTAATTTTAGAAAATCAGCATCTAAAAAACGAAAAGAAAAATGTACATAATATGAAACATTATATTTGTTTTGTGTTATGCTTACTCATTGTAACACATATGGGTTGAGAATATGGTCCATAACCAAGACGTGTACGTGCTGCAATACTAATACAATATTGCATATTTTCAATAAGATTTTTTATATGTAATCCTTTAGCATCAGCACTTATATTTGATAAACGTATTGAAGTTGATTCATTTGATCCTAAACAATTAACTTTATATGCAACAATAAGACCATTTTGTTCAGATTCTAATGGTGGATTCCAACGTATCGAAAGACTTGTCATTGATGTTAATTCAACAATAACATTTGTTGGTGATGATGATGGAATACTTTCTAATGTTCGTATTAATATAATATTACTTGGACGACCTATTATATTTGTTAAACTATTTAATGATATAATACGTATTGAATAATCTGTATTTGGTCGAAGATTTGTAATTGTATATGTTGTTAGATTATTTTTATTAATAATTGTTTCAATACGTTCATTGATATCTTTATCACTTGTTATTGAAATTGAATAACGATCAATATATTGATTTTGTTGTAAAATCTTCCATTGTATAGTTACACTTGTTTCTTGAATATTTATTGGATCTAATAAATAAATAAAATCATCATTAAATTTTTGTTCATGACGAGTTTCAATTAATTCAGATAATAATGATGGTTGACCATAACCAAATGAATTTTTTGCACGTACAAGAAATTGATATGTTGAACTTATTTTTAAATCATTTATTATTTGACGTGAATTTTTATTTGTTGTATATAAACGTTTCCATTGAAGATTTTTATCATCATTATTTAGAATAAAATATTCTATAAGATAACCTTGAATATCTATTGATGGATAATTCCATGCTAATTCAATTGAATTACTATTTATAGCTATTGCTAATGGTTGTGTTGGTGATTGTGGTAAATCTGTATGTACAACTCGATGAAATATAGCATTTGAACGTGGATCTTCAACATTTAAATGAGCCATCCAAATTGTTTCATCATCATTTATATTAGTTACCAAACATTTATAAATGCCAACATCATTTCTAAATACATTAGATGAATAAAAAATAATTCAATTAGATAAAAATATATCAGACTTGAATATTAAACCGGATGAATAATCTTTACTTAATTTTGAATTAGATGAAACAAATTAAGTTATTCGAATCTTTTT